CGGACCAGCAGGTTTATTACAAGTGATCTTGGCGGCATCGCCAGGATCACTTGTACTAAAACACCGGCTTCCCCGCTCTACATTTAGCCTTGTTTCTCTGAAGCAGAGCTAAATGTAGAAAAAAAACTACCCACCTGGCGTCCGGAACTGCATGTCCTGGGTGTCGGGCAATAGAATTTTGACAACCCTGCCTAGGCTCACGTGCCACCAGAGGGGCCTCTGAGTGCCCTCTGTGGCACGTGTGCCATAGGTTCACCACCACTGTTATAGTCTATCACGATTGTAAGCTTGGAGCGGTGGCAACTTTACAACACACACAGGGACCATGGAGAACAAAAGTAGCCACCCTCCAGAAGGAAGGACAGTGATACATTTTTGTTATTAGTGAAGGTACTTGAATGTATTTTTAAGTTTAGTGTCACTTTAATAAATCACACACACACACACACACAGACACACACACATGATGGGGAATCTCAGAAAGCACCTTAAATCACCCATTTTTTACATTTAGAAAATGTAAGGATCCTTTAACAATCATATAAACAGGATGGGAATCTTAGAAAGAAGCCTTTGCATCACCCCTTTTTTCTATGTAGAAAATGTAAAGATCTTTAACAATCACACACAAAATGGGAAATCTCAGCAAGCACTTTTGGGATTCCAGTATGTTTATAAATGTTTGCAAAGGCACTACTAAACCACTAAAGTGTTAACAGGAGATGCTCCAATCAATCACAACATGTTAGCAAGTAGGGATGAAAGCCCTAAGAAATAATCCAACCAAGGACTTATTTTATCAGCATGTATTGTTATCGGTTATATATTTTAGATGCCTTTGTTTTATGAGCTGGTTAATTAGAATTAAAGTGTCCTCTACATGAACTGATTAGGGTTTTCTATGTAATCTGACAATCTCCTTTTTACCGCAGAAAGAATGAACTCTGTGGGCAGACAATATTCATCTGTGGCTGCTAAAATCAAACAATGACCATAGCTGTTAATATATGTATCCTTTTGACAGTGTCTGGTGTCCCCATTAAGGATATACACGCTTTGAAAAAAAAAAAAGTGCACTTATCCTATTTTACCCCACCTTCCGCAGATACATACTTACCTCCTTTGCATGCCCTAATGTTAACATCCCTCTGGGAAATCTTCTTGGCACACATGGCTACAAAGTAGACCCTTAGAGACATCTAGGGGCTGTGTGTCTGGGCAGGGTACTTTGTGTGTGTGTGTGTGTTTTGGGGTGACCAAAAAGAATATTGTAAGTGCTTGTTTAAAAGCGCACTTGTTCTAAGATTATGTTGTAGGCCCTCCCACTACGTAATCGCTGGTAAATCCAAAAGGTGATTGAACAATCAGATTGTAACATGTGGTGCCAACTCAATACTCAGTATCCACAGCTTACAAATATCTCAGCATGGATGCTGTAGTTTATGATTTTTGCAAAAAATGCATCGCTTTATATAGTTATAACATGTCTGTACATTTTTACTCATTTGAGAAATTATATTCCTAGCAATGGTCCTCTGTCTATTACATGTATACTGTACAGATTGTTTTGAATATGCAAAGTCTGAACGCTCATTGTATATACAGAATTCCTCAACTGTAAGCATCATGACTACATTACCGTAAGCGCTGCTTAGCCAGGTTCCTTGGAGCAGACTACATGGGTTGTAGAGACACTGTCACAAGGTTCCACTTGACTATGGGTTATACAATATATACACATACACACACATACATACATACATACATACATACATA